TTATAATAATTAATATGCTTTAAGCTAATTTTTATTTAGACAATGTGTTGAAAGAGCCTTCAATTTGCCATGCAGGCAGAAACATCCCCCACTCTGAGCACCGAACCATGCCCACTGCCCACCACCATTCCAACAAATTGCAAAAATTAACATTTTCCCTAAAGGTTGAGACTCCCAGCTCGCGGCTCACTATCTGAAAGTCACCAGGCCAATACAGAAGAGAGAATCTATGCGACTGAATAAAACGTTAATTACACGGTAAACAGCCGATTATACTTCTTTTGTACTCTCATTTGTTATAATTTCAAAAATTGAATTAATAACAATGTATATAGTGTACTTTAAAAGTAAATGTTACGCATACAAGAATCGGTTGCGTATACGTAATGTACAACGTGACTGAATCTGAACTTGAACGCACATTTTATTGTGCAAGGAGTATCACACAGTCGGATAAACCCGAATGCAGAGCTCTTATTTCAAATAACATATTTATTATAATATGGTTTTACTTTAAGGTAAATATAGCGCATACAAGAAACGGTTGCGTATACGTAATATGCAACGTGACTGAATCTAAATTTGTACGCACGTGTAACTGCGCAAAGGGCATTACGAAGTCGGTTATACCCGCATGTAGCGCTCTTATTTTAATTTCGAATTATATATTAATTGTAATATGGTGGAATTTAAATGTAAATATTGCGCATACAAGAATCGGTTGCGTATACGTAATTTGCAAAGTGACTGAATCTAAATTTGTACGTACGTGTAACTGCGCAAAGAGTATTATGCAGTCGGTTGTACCCGAATGTAGCGCTCCTACTTTAATTTCAAAGTCTTAATTAATTATAATGTGTGCAGTGGACTTTAAAGGTAAATATTGGGCATACAAGAATCGGTTGCGTATACGTAATGTACAAATGACTGTGCACAAGCACAAACATGTGAATTTGTATGCACATGTGGTTGCACAAGGCGGGTTGACATCACCTTCTCCTGGCTCTGGCCACTGACTGTGCGGCATGTGCGTCAGTTACATATAAATTTATATATATATATATTTTTAGACAGCTTGCAGCCTGCCAGCTGCATTTGGCACTCGGCTAAGAGCGCGGGGCACGGCAAGGATGCCGTTGATGGTTACGAAGTGTGCGCCGCGAGCGCTTTTTCTTCGAGCAGCGTCGCAACATGTTGGGTAAAGACGTGTGTCGCTGACTGGCTGTGACGGTAATGCAACGTGCTACAGTTGCGTGCCGTGCCACATGTATGTGCGCGTGCACTCTCAGTGTTGCGAGTGCCTGGGTGTGGGTTGTCGTTGTCGTTGTCGTCTGGCAATGTCTCCATTTGGCGTTTGCCCCTACTACGTGTCTATTTAAATTTGCACCGCTGATGCAGCACTTGATGATGCGCTATGATCAAAAGATTGGCTATATTAGCTATGCGTGTGGGTTTGTCGCAGCAATAAGCTTTGTGGCCTAAAAGTAGTTCCTTTTTTCAAGTCGGATTACAAAAAATCCAATCTATGTATACTCATAGTCAAAGGCTTTTTTGTACATTTAAATTCAAATTCTTTCATTTTTTAATCCAATTTTAAGGGAATGCCACGATCATTACAATATTCATTAGATTTTCAAGTCAAGGCTGCAAGCCCATCATAAAATGTTTTTGGTTCTGTTTTCGTTTTGAACCAGTGTCTACTACCAGTTTGTACACATCCATCTAGTTTTTAGTTCGAATACAATAATGTTTGTTGAATTCATAATATTTTAAAACAAGAATTCTATTCGCGATAAGCTAAATAACAACACTGATAGTATAGGGGTATGAGGGCAGAGTATTCAATAGTTTTAAATTGTCTTTTGGTTTTTGCCACTCGGTTTTGGTTGCATTCTTTTAAGTTGGTTGTAAATTGAATTGAAATTATTTGGCAAATGGCAGCGTTGCATGTGGAAACGTTGCAGCACTTTATGCAAATCCAGTGACAGATTTTCACGCGCTTCTGGCAACAGTCGCACCTCAGTCCGCACGGCCCCTCCTTGCCACTGTGTGTATGTAGAGAGCGTAATTGAAAAGTGCAGTAAATGCGTCTTGGAATCCAGAAGATATTGTTACTCCCATATGAAGCGTAGAGTACATCAATTTGCTGTGCCCGGGCGTTAAGCGCCACTTTGTTTGCCGTTTGTGCGTCATTTTCAGCGATGGAAGAACGTCGCCATCGGCGCCGGTTACACTTATAAGCATTTAAGTGATTCAATGCGAAGACCACAAAACCGCAAGAACATCATGCAAATGACATTGGCAATGGCATTGTCAGCGGGCAGACCCAGGAACAGCGCGCTGGTAGGTCTTGGTCGTCTATTTTGCGTTATGCACTGCACAGCGGAACTGATTGCACCACCAACATCTATTGACGTGGGCATTGTGGATGTTATATATGAAGTAGTTAGATAATGCACATTTTCCGTTAGCCTAGCCGAAAAAAGGTTGTGTAAAGAGCCCATTTAACATACACTAAGCTCTGTTTGCCAACTCAAGCTCCAGCTGAGTTATTTGTGGGATGAGAACTCTATACTATAGAGCCTGGCTGAGGAGTTGAAAAATTGTATACCCTGTTACAGGCAGCAGGAGGGTAGTCCGCTCTCATTTATAACATACATTCTTGATCAATGAGCTTGACGATGAGCTGGGGTCATGCTTGTCTGTCCTCTCGTTTGAATGAACTTGTCGGCAAATACTTAGGTATATATTCTCGTATACCATATATAGAATGTGTTTTAGCTATGCTAGAAGATGATTATAATAATTATAGCAAATAATAAAATTATATGTAAATAAATTATAAATTATAAAATGCCTAAAAACAATGTAGTTACAAAACGTTTTAAATGCATTTTCGATTATCATCTTGAATCTTGATGGAATATTGGCACAAATTTAAAGGTCACATTGATCTATGCGCTCCGCAGAGATATATGTCCGGATATATGTCTTGCGGACATATGCGGATATATGTCAGCCCTGAAGAGCAAACTAGGCAAACTTAGATGGCTTCTGAACAGTAGCAATGCATTATCTTTCAAACTAAAGTAAGCATCTATGAAAGCTGCATAACTCCTGCCTGCCGTTATGGAATCCAAGTATACGGGATTGCTGCAGAATTCCGTAATGCGAAAATCAGGGTGTTACAAGCAAAAACGCTCTGCAATCTATCTGGTGGTCCCTGCTACATGCGAACTTCCGATTTGGAAAAAGATCTAGGAGTGCCCAAATTCAGGGCAGCTATAAGTATACAGGCTATGAACTATATTACGCGACTTGGAAGTCATCCAAGTCGTCTGGCTAAGTGCCTTTTAAAGAGACGTATTGCGGAGGTTTCAGCTACTCGATCTCTCAGATCTGTTTATATAATCACCCTAACTTTGTCAACTTTTATTTTAGACTTAACAGTAGAATAACTATTATTGTAAATATTCATATAAGTTAAATTAAAGTTGTTTCCAAAATAACAATAATATTGAAATAAAGCAAACAAAAATATAGAAACAAATCTTGAGTCTTGAAATATAACAAGTATTTTATGGTCACTTCCTTTTCGGCTCCCGTAAGCATCCGTAAAGCTCTCTCCTAGCAGCAATATGAAATTGGGCATAGGGTATCATCTAGTTGAGCACTTCTGCCTAAAGCAAGTATACTTGGCCTTGGCTTGTACTTTAATCCGAATTGCGCCGCATATTTGGACGAAAAACAGGTAAATAATGCGCTGCACATAATTATGCGTAAATAATAAATTTCGCTTTATTGAATTTCATTCCATTAAAATATTACCACATAATGAGATGTGTGTACTTGCAACGTTCTTGATCTTTATAAGTGTGTGTGTGTGTGTGTGTGCGTGTGTGTGTTGTCTTTGCCGGCTTGCACATGTATAATAATACCTTAGTAAATTCATTTTGTTTATTTTTACGTCTGCATGCTCATTAAATCTGTTACATAAATTATATTCATTTTCAATGTACAGCAATGCAAGACATTGGGGGTATTCCGTAAATCTGTGATCAAATTTCACAAGCTGGACAGAAAATTCCAAACCTGAACTTAAAAATGTTTTTCTTTCTAAATCAGTTTCCAACTGGAATTCTTAGAGAGCATGTCAAACGATCTATTTATGCATATATGTATATATACTTATTTTCTTTGTTTGTTTCAATATGTGTATTTGTTCTTGGTTTGTGCTAAGGCCAACTAAATATGTTTTTCCAATTACGTTTGATCCGTTTATTGAATAAGTATCTTGGTTAAGCCGAAAAGATTCTACAATACATATACTATGTACATTCAATACAACTTTCGCTGCATTTTGTGTGATTATATTTATTCATTTTCAATTTGTTCTTGTTGCTTTTGAATTAATTTTGAAACCTATTTGATGTTGCGTGCATTGAAAGTGTCGGGCTCTTGGAACAAAATTTTCGGGGTCAGTGATAAAGCAAAAGCCATCTATTAGCGTTACGAGCTTTCTAGAGCCTTGCTTCTAACATTGGTCAAGCAATAAAAGCCAAACTACAATCTGGAAATAATAAATTGCATTACACGTATTACATATATTTGATCGACATTTCTAGGTTTACAATATTCAATGTTGTTCTTAAAAAAGAAGTGAAGCATACATTTAGGCTCGTTAAATATTTTATTTCAACAGATCCTTCAGGTCTGTCTGCCTGTGTCTGAGTGTGTGTGTGTGTCTGTGTGTGTGTGTGTGTGTGTGTGAGTGTGTGTGTGTTTTGTGTAACTACGGTTGCGTTAATGTGGTTGTTTGTGTCATTTACTATCATACACCAAAAAAATTTTAGCTTATATTTAGTTTTTTTCTTATTTGTTCTTATCTTTTTTTTTTTTTAAATATTAAATATTGTATTTAATATTTGTATTTAATTTTTTTTAATTTTTTTTTTTTAATTTTTGTAATTTCCTATAACTTTTTTCTCGTTTAGGTTCAATATGCAAGAGTTCTTATCCAAGACACACAAAAAGTCTGGAAACAAACGATATTTTTAAATTTTTTTTTTTGCTTAAATTTTTTTTTTAGGTTTTTTCACCTGCTCTCAGATGCGAATCAAAATTAGAACTAAGTACAGTACTCATCGCTTGAAACTTAAGATTTAATTCAGAAGCAACTACTGAAATTTATGTCTATATTTAGGTTTAGATTAGCAATGGGAAACCGGCCTAAGCCAAGGAGAAAGCGAACTATTTTTAAGGCGAGTTGTATGCGCATTGTTGATCGATTATTTGCACTCGAACTACCAATTACCAAAAAGGATCGTTGATCAGTTATGCTTGAGAGTCGTACACTTGCTAGGTTTCGATTTTTCTTATGTATAGCCATATCCTAATTCCTCCTGCTTTCATTGCATTGACATGGCTTAGACAAAAACTTGAGTCGAAATCCGGTTGCTTTCGCTTTGGTTTAAACTGGCTTTCCATTCTCGTATGTTGCTGCTGCTTTCGTTTGTGGTTGTTCTTCTACTTCTACTTTGACGTCTCGCGTTTCATCGATCTTCCTGTTGTAGAGCGGCTTAAGGCATTGGAAAGTGATTCTGCTCAAAGTCTTTGTGTCGTTCTCCGAGCAACTTATGGGCGCTGATGTTCTCCAGCCGTCGATCCGTGATGGCCACGAAGGGCAAACGCTGCTTCCGGCTGGCTGCGGACGATGAGGAGAGGGAGTTGGCAGCGCCAATGCCATCCACAACACGATGATAGACAAACGAGTTGAGCGGCGAGGATGGCGGCATCGGAGTGCTATCATCATCATCAACAGCGCTCGCGGCGGCCGGGGCAGCAGCATGCCAGCTGCTCTGACCACGTCCGGCTACATTGGCCACAAACTGTGCACTGCGGCTGCGCGGCGTGCCCAAGAAGCTGTCCGTTATAGCCGGGTAGAGGGGCAGCTTAAAGAGTGCCGGCTTTGGGGTGGACTGCACGGCGGTGACGGCGACGGCGGCGGCGGCGGCGGCTTCGGGTGGCGACTGTGGCAAAGCTTTGGTGTCCATTTCCCTTTGCCAGAAATCAACGGCAGCTGACTGGCGATGCTCATCATCATTCAATTGCTTTTCCTCTTCGGGCAGCTGGTTGGACAGGCTGCTGGTGAGCGTTGCGGGCGTCGTCGTTGTTGTCGTCGTCGTGGTGCTGCCGCCGTGCTGCTGGGCAAAGAGATCTTCGTAGCGCTGCTGATAGCGACGTCGCTTCTGTTTAACGTAATCATCGTCCAGTCGTATGGGCGCCGATTCGTGCGGACCCGGCTGCAGTTGGGAGCCGCTCCAGAGGCCGTTGAACGTGGGCGTGGGCGTAGCCGGCGGCAATGTACCCTCGAGCAGATTAAGCAGCTGCTTATTGCGTCGATTATATTTTTTGATATACGGCGGCAGATTGGCCTCCTCGCCATGATCCTGCTGTGCCTCCTCCAGCTCGGCAGCTGTCTCATAGTCATCGTCCGCATCGTAATCGGTATAGAGTTCCGGATGAGCTTCGCGATAGTGTTCGTCGTACACCTGAAACTGTACGCGTGCTAGATGCGGCCACTTGGCATAGTAGCGCTCCAGCTGCTCCAGCTCAGTGATCTGATGGCCCAATTGCGGCTTCGGTGGCGGCAGCGGCGGCTCTGGCGTTGTAGCCGGTGCCGCCGACTGGGCCGCCGTTGCCTTGCGCTGATATGGATTCGGTAAACGCTGCATGCGAGCGTGCTTGTGATGATGCTGGTGATGATGGTGCTTCAGATGATGATGGTGCTTCACCTGATGCTGCGGCTGCGGCTGCATCAGCTGCTGCTGCTGCTGCTGTTCACTGCTTTTGACGCCATTGCGCAGCACTGGACTGATGCGTCGATACCAGTTGCCATTGTCGTTGGCAATTAGACGTTCCATTTCCGTATGATGGGCGTCCAGGGGTTGCGGCTGTATATTCTCCTGATGGTCGTAGTAGTTCACTTGACCCTCGTAGAAGGGCTTGGGCGTCATGCGTTGTGGTCGGACGCCCAGGGCAAAGATCGGCGTTGCGTGGGAGTGTCTCTCTTCACGCTTCTGTTCCTGTTCCTGCTCCTGTTCCTGATGCAGCTGCCGCTCCTGCTCCTGTTGCTTTTCCTGTGCTCGCTGCTGTTGCCATACTCGCTCGCGCTCTTCCCGCTCCTTGCGCAGCTTGAGCGCGTACCTGGGGGTTAGCTTGATATTGTGCTTGAGGTAGTCCTTGTAGCGCTTCTTGTGACTCTTGTGACCATTCCGGCGATTGCTGCGCCGCAGCGCCTTAAAGCGTTCAAAGGCCGATGGTGACTCGGTGGTGGTGGCATCTGCAATGGAAATTGAGAATCGCAATGGGCATGAGTAAAGGAAGAAATTGTGAGTCTCGGCACGATGCGCTCGCTCGGAAGTAATAGATTTCTATTAGTCCCGGGGACAACAAATCGCCATATTTGTGGATGGCTGTTGCTGTTGCTATTGCCCTTATTGTTGTAGCTGTTGTAGCTATTGTTGTTGCTTATGTGACCCTCATCTAAGACCACAAAATCCGTTGCCCATAAGACCACAATTCATTTCATTTGATTGTGCATAAAAGTGCGGCAACCTCGCTATCAGAAACCCCGCCCAGTCCAAAATCAACGAGGTGCGCTTAAAAACTTTCAGAACATTTTACATTCTAAGTGCAACATATACTAAATGAAAGCAAGTAAAAGCCTAACAATTTATTTGTTTTTATTTTACATATTTGCAGCAGATAGCTTAGACTTTATACAGCCTATAGATATTAAGGCCGAATCATAATTTGCTAAGATAATAAATTGTGAGCGAGACGTGGAACCATTTGTAAGACGTAAGATGCCCATTTTTGTGGAGAGCGAATATAGCCCGCAGCTTCTCTATAAAAATATCTACGGCTTGCAATATTTTCAGCAGAACGGGCAATTAATAATTATTATTTATTAATATATTTTTAAACTAATTCATTTTTCGGAATTATGATTGATGTCGTAAGTTTAAATTGCACCAACTTTTTGGATGTATGTAAATACTATGCACAATATTAACTTTTCCGCAATATTCCCATTCATCATGACATATTGAACCGCCCTCAGAAACAGAGCACACACGGACGGAAAAAAAACACACACACACATAACGAATATCCTGAGACTGGCTTAAGCTGTGGCCAAGCAAAGGACCTCTGGCAGTCTAGGCACGTTTCAGGGACGACTCCTCCACTACAATGAATGCAGTGCGAAGTTCATTTTGGTTTTTTTTTTGTGTGTGCTGAGGTTTGGGTTGTGGGCATGTGCGAACGGGCAATCCTCGAGACATGTACTTCTTGGACAGAACCAAGCCACACAATATATGCCGTTTTGTTGGCTTTATTGCTTCAGGCAGGCAGGCAAAAAAAAAAAGAAACAAAAATGAAAAAGCTTCTCACAAAACAAAACTGTTGTAATAAAATGCCTGCCCATGGGAGTTTGGTGTTCGGTTGGACGCCAAAGCTCATTCCGTTTGATTTCTTGCATTTGCATAAGTTGTGCAAGGCCCATAAACTAATTAAGGCCACATGCGAGCCGACATTGGAGTGCTCACATTTGCACCCATATTAAAGAGGTTTTTCGTTTTTCAAATATGGCCAAACATTTTGGTGTACACCGCCCCCCCGGGGTGTCTGCATTCAATTGGGGTTTGCTCAACATATTTTCAATTTACGGTCCACAGTGAATGTCCCTTGCAGGACCCAGCACCAGGGGCAGCTTAGTGCATTGCAGTCCTGTCCAGCTAACCAAATCAAAAACAGTCTGCTTTACGCGTATGAGACCGACTAAGAGATACTAAACGCTGAGCTGCCTTTATAGGCATTCAAACATTCTTCTTTGTAGGCATTCCCCAGCCCATGGAATATGCATTCTTGAATAACTTCAGTGTTTCTGGTCTCAACCTTATGAAAGGGTTTAAATATGGTATACTAAAGTGTGTATATACTTAAGGTATATCTCTAAAAGAATATTCCGTTTTGGAGAAAATAAAGGTAATATGAAGTACATTCACTTCTTTTCGTTTTCGAAAAAAACTGAATCTGTGCGTGAAATAGAAGCACGTGCGTTCCAAATCCTAGACATTCGGCTATTGACATCTTATGCATTGTTGACTGTATTTTTCGGTCAGTAACAAACATTTGCACAGAATCATATTGTCCTCCTTTAGGCATGTTACATGCGTACAGGGTATAGAGACCATAAACCGAAACCAAATCAAAGTATGTGAGTACGGGACGCCAAGCCGCAGCGTTCAGCCAAACAGTGACAATAATTCCACAGCAATTTGTTAAATAATTTTAATTTGATGCCAATCAATTATAGATTACACACAAAACTGTTTAACAAATTATAAATTTGGCCAAGTATTTGTACCGAAATATTAAGGCTTAACCAGAGTTATTTAATATGAATTTTCAAGCAATAAAAATAAATAATTCAAATCGTGGTCATAAATATTCGATATTCAATTTTGGTCTATAAATAAAACCAAGGCGCTTCAAATTGTTAAATTGGAACAATAGAAGAATACGAATTAAATATGCTGGAATGCTTTAATTTATTTGCATTGAAATTCAATAGTATTTTCCGTTTTCTAATTGCTTATTGTTATAATCCACTGTGCGGCTTCTTGGTATTCCTCATGCTCGCTCTGAATGTTTTTGTGTTTAGCTTGCATTGTCTAATACCATTCCGACTGCCCCTCACTCTTTTCCCCACGCTGTCTACACTGACTATGCCGAACCGTGTCCCGATTGCAATCCCTGCGTTCAGCCCGGGGCTTACTGTATATCTTTAGCTGTATATCTATTTTGCTGGCATCTGTTTAAACACCCTGTACTCATTGAAAACTAGTGAAATTGGGTATATTGCAGCTGTCTTAACGTATGCAACAGGCAGAAAGAAGCTTCTTTGACCCCCATATTATTGTTCAGGACGACGAGCTTGTTTTGTTATAAGGCTTTTTAAGTAACATGTATATTGAATATGAAGACGCCGAATGGAAGAGAGAGAAACTTCTTGTGCTTACGTTTATACCAACATTGGAATATCATATTCAAACACTGAAAATATCATTAAGATCGGACGAAGTTACCTGGTGCTAGCCCGAAAGTTGGATAGCAGGGTATTTGCTAGTCGGCCACTTCCAACTTGAGCGCTCTTACTTGTTTTGGTCTGACTTTGTACAAGCTTTGGCACTCACAAAATACCCAAATGACTTACCCGGATGATAACGCAATGCAGATTCCGATTCCAGTTGTGGCGCCCGCTGCTCTCCGTACTCATCGTCCTGGAAAGGAGAGTCCTGCTGCTGCTGCTGCTGTTGTTGTTGTTGTTGTTCCTGCTGTTGCTGCTTGGTTTCATTTATTGTCTGGCCCAAGTAGCTGCTCAAGTAATTGGCTTGTGATTCGCTGGCAATATCTTCGCTGCTTCTCGGATTCTCTCCAGCATCGAAGTAGTGCAGCTCTCCCACGTCGCTGGACTCCATTTGAAAATCTGTGTTGGCGTTCTCGTGATGGTGCGTCCTAATTCGGCCTAGGTCGTAGTTGTTCTTACCATAGTATCTGCCTCCAAGCCAGGCATTAGTATTGGCGCCGCTGCCATGTCGCTTCTGCTTGTGTCCAATGGGCGGCGACATATTCCGCTTACTTGAGCTGCTCGATGTGCCTGCTGTTGTTCTTGTTGTTGTTGGATCAGGAGCTACGGTAGTTGGCTGGTTTGTTGTTGTCGTTGTGGAGCTGGTGCTGGTGGCCGGAGACGTAGTCTCCCTTGCTGCTGATTCATCATTGTCAATTGTGGACATAATGTTTTCCGCCAATACTTGATCATTACCAAAATTGTCCTCAATATCGCCGATTGCCATAATGTCCTCGCCAGCCACATCCTCAGTTGCTTGCAACGTTGATTGGCCCGGCGCTTTATTAAATTTTCGTTCATTTAATATTTCAATGGAATCAAACAGCTGCTCCACACCAGCCTTCTGTGGCTCTCGCTGTCGCTGCCATTGCCGTTCCGCATCATCTTGCCCTGCAACACTCTCCATCTGCTGGGCTGGTCCGTTGCCATTTGCCTGCTGCTGCTGCTGCTGGTGCTGTTGCTCCTTTTGGCTCTGTTGATTTTGCTGTTCGTGCATGTTCTTAAATTTTTTATACGCAAAACTTTTGCTGCCAAAGTTCGCGTTTGGCTTCTCATCCTCCACATTGTCCACAGCCGTGTCCTCAGCCTCCTGCTCGTTGTATTCCTCGTCCTCGTTGCTGTCCTTGTCGTTGTTGGTCTTATCGTTGTTGTTGTTGTTGCTGTTGCTTTTGTTGTTGTTGTCTTTGGCGCTGTCGTTGTCGTCACCGGAAGTGGATTTTGTAGCTGACGCTGTCTCTTCATCTGCTTCTTCTTCATTGGCAACTCTCTTTGGCAGCATGCTCTCTTTATTGTTTTTCAATTTGTAGTTGTAGTGGTTTTTATTGTTGTTGCCGTTGTTGTTGTCATTGTTGTTGTTGCTGTTGTTGCTGTTATAGTATTTCTTCTTGACTGTCTTGCCATCTTTTGCAAGGTAAACAGTGAAATTCCTTGAAGTGGGCCTTTGAGATTCAAGTATCTGCAAGAATACAAGCGAACAATGCGAGAACGTAAAGACAATAAAAGCCATTCCCAATCCCATGCCCATTCCCAAATGCAGCATGCTGCATACCTATGTACTATGTACATATATACATATATTTATCTCGATATACATATGTGTATATATAGGCTAATGGGCGTGTCTGTTGCTGCAGCAAAAAACAATAAAGCCAAAGTGGCAACGACTAAAAGGAAGGAACCGAGTTACTCAGTTACCCAGCCAGACACATGTGCGACAATAAAAGGCAAGTTTCGTATAGCCTGGAGACGTCTTCAAAGTTGCCGCCAGAACTGTCTGTCTGCTGAAACCGACTGCAAGCCGCTGATTAGATGCGAATGTGGCAGCCATGCGAGCATCTATGAGATTGCATTTGTCCAAACGATTAAGCCCAAGTGTTTCGGCAAATTCGGTGAAACTTTGCAACTGAATATAGTTGCCAGACAATGAAATTTATACATCCTGGTCACATTGTATATATATTATTTTAGGAGAATTATATGGGATATATATAATTTATACGCAGTCCTCGGTAGATGAGCTGTCTTTCAGGCACTTAAACAATGAAAATCGAGGTTCGAATTCAAAGCCTAGTTTAAGGTCTTGGTAGTGAACGCTATTTAAAGAGTGCAATTAATAATTTAAAAAATTATAAGAATAAATTTTTAAAAATAATCAAATGAATTATTTTTTTTTAATAAAGATAAAGTGCAAATTTTAAGCTCTTGACTGATGTCGACTCTTTTCTCCTTTTCCTTTCAACAGTATTGAAAATAAATACGCTTTGTATGAAAAGCTTTATCTAATGGAGTCCATGGCGGATGTGGCTGGCTGCTTGAAATGCACACAACTTTTGTTTTATACCCTAGTAATGCGTATTAAAACTTTGTGATGCAATTTGTTATGCATATAAGTATATAGAGAGTATATATAGTCTATAGGAACAGCTGAGTCGATATTCTATGCAAGCGAGTCTGTCAGTTTTAAGGCTATCGTCACGAAGCTTTGCGTGTTTAAAACGGTTGGAAGGGCAACTTATGTTATTTTATGAAACATTAAATTATGAGCAAAGTCTTATCAATATCCGACTACTTTATCACTATAGTATAAATCTAAAGAAGCAATCAGTTGCATGAAAAACTTATGTGTTTTTCGGAACTATCTTTAACAAACTGAACAACTATGCTCTTTGCCATTTGTATGTCTGCAAAACAAGGGTATTTAGACTTCGGCTTGCCATTCTGTCTGCTTTTTATTGCCATAGGCTTAGATGGTTGGTCTGGCTGACCAGTTTCAATGATGATTTCAAGATGACCCCGGTGGGCCAACGATTCGGCCAAGCATGCTGCATATTTAAAGCAATCATTCAGAAAAGTAATTTGACTCAGCTAGCACATTGTGCGACATTTCAATGTTCTCCCCTTTTCCTCTCCACTTCCGTCTGTCTATCATTTTTTTTTGTAACGATATGTACGCTGTTTCAATAGAACTGACCTCATTTGAAACACTTACTGACTTACAGCACCCATGCAGCTGCTGCACACACGTGCACACAGTGCTTAACATACTCTGCCTATACTCACAATATCAGCCGCATCGGAATCGTCAGCTTCGTCATCCGTAGGCTCGGCATATTGCAGCTGGGAGGTCGCATCGTCCACAATGTCGCCATCGTGCTGGTCAAATATGTCCTCGGGTATGGTGGCCTCAGCTTGCAAATTGAAATCTGTAAAGAAAAAAGCCACAAGAAGTAAGCTGTGGGTTTAACCATTTGCAAGACTTGTATTCGCATAAAACTGTCACAGGAAACGGATGCTAAAATCGAAGATACTCTGTAGCCTTATCATGCGCGATGACCTCTTTTCATCGTGCACGTTTTTTAAGGCATTTATAAAGCTTTACAGGTAAAACAGTTGATCGAGTCATGTCTTTGAGCATGTCTACAAGCAAAACGCAACCGCTTAGTTGTTGATAAGATCTTAAAAAAAAGAGTTTAGGTTTAGGCGTAGGTTCAACTGCTTTTTGTTCAATCTGATCTAAGGTTTTGTACATGTTAAGCAAAAAATAGACATTTGAGGTTCAAACCGGTTCGCAGCCAGGTCTTGTGCTTGCTATTTTTATCATTCGAATAACAAAATATAATCAAGTGACTAACTGTGGACAAGAATGCTAGCAAGTGCTCGACTAGGAGCTACCCTAAGTCCATGTAAAGGTCAGCGTAGGCATTTTTAAGCACTTTTTCAATTGCACAAAAATGTTGCATGAGTCTCTTTTAGCGTTTTACTTAAATAAAAGTAAGCTGCTTGAATTGACTTCCACTTTTGAAAGTAGTCTCTGTGCCCATTGAAATATGAATGCATGTGCATGTAATATATAGATCTATATATATATATATATATAAAGAGATACATATATATGCGTCTCTAGTGGTGATACATGTGTTTGCATAAGTGTGTGTAGATATGCATGCATGACCTGAAAAACAGAGGGTTTACTCATAGTTGAATGGATAAGAATTTAGCAAGAAGCTATCCCTTGTGTGTGTGTATATGAGTGTTTGTGAGTTTGTGGGGCTATATACATATATATGTATTTCTTTTATGCGCTGTCATTGACTGAATTGCCATTTGGGGAGCTCACCCACACACACACACAACTTGGAGTCTCGCTGCATACATGCTTCAAAAATAAAATGGAATAAAAATGTGTTGTGTGTCTATGAGTGTGTGTGTGTGTGTGTGTGTGTGTGTGTGTTCGAAACGATAAAAGCCATCTTAAATTGCGAGTGAAATGCCTGACCATGATCTGCATGGAAACATAACAAACAATATACAATCTACAACAGAAAACAGACATATCATTATATTGATATAAAGATTTCCCAATTTTTGGGCTTATCGTTATTTCCGAATCTGTATTTGTTATAATTATGCAATGTTCTTGGTTGTTACCTTGAAGTTAATTGTACTAAACAGCAGGCTGTAAATCAATTAATATATATATATGTATATATTTTTAAAGGAAATATTAATTCAAGTCACCTGAACCGAAGCAAAAGTTTATTTTCTAAAATTAATTGGTTCAAAACAAAAAACTTTTGGGGGAGTCACAACAGCAAAGAATAAAATAACACGAGCTCCAACTATTGGAATCATCCAGCTGCAAATTTTGGATCGATATCAACTTTCGCCCGCAGCTGCTAAATGAAAATATGTTCGACTCAATATTGTCAGTTATAAAGAAAATTCTAAAATTCTTTCACTTGAAGTAAAACCTGGGTGAATGAATGTGGAATACCTGGTTCAGGAATCAGGCAGGGAGCTGGTTCAACCTCTAGTTAGAATTAATTAACTGGTTTTAGCTATATGTCAACCTCGCCATACTCAACAATATTTTTGGAAAATTTGAGCTTCTACTGGGGTAAGCGGCTTGTATAAAAATCAAACTAGAATGCTTGAGGCTCCAACGCTAGGCGACAATTTTTGGGACTTGCATGTTTTACATTATAGATTTAAGCCGGGCAACGCGGGGTAATTTGTTTACACAATAAAATTACAATTTTATTACATAATACAATTTAAAGACAATCGAATATTCCCTTTAGAGCGGAAAACACCAATAGAGAGCTTAAGGGAATCGGTAACCAGCTGGAGGCCACAGGCTGTGGGTGGCGGGGGTGCAAAAATTCAACCTAGAAAAGCCAAACAAATTTGCTGAAAATATAAATCTTTGATTTCACTTGTTATATGACTTTAATTATTTGCAGCTGCCTTTTGAATATTTTATAGATGTAATCGCATTTAGAATGTTGTTGACAAAATCGATGTAATTGCTACAAGTGTATATACCCTGTAAATTTAACAAGAACAACACAACATCCTGTTGCCATTCATAGAATTATGAATTTCGGATGCGTAGTGACTAATTAAATTCCTTTGACTGGAATTAAATTAACCAAAGACACAAGCTGCCTACGTCGTCCCGGGGGAGAGTCTCGGCAAAGGTTGGAAAAAATCTGGGAAAAAAATCACGCACATGATTTTAATGTCCCGGTGGCGTTCTGTGGCGACACGTTACGAGGCCCACTTGTCCTTCGCTCCTTATACTCTCACTACCCTTGACTGCCCATCCCTTCCCACAAACACCAGGCCCCTGCGCCCCGTCCATCAGTCAAGCGCTGCATTGAGGTTATCGTCGTTGGGGCTTGCTCATCCAACGCTTTTGTTGCTCAGCTGTCAAGTGAAGGGGCAATGCGGTGGACGGGTTCGGGGACGGTGCGCGGTGTGCTGATGGGTGGTTGGGGGCTCAGCCCAGTTCTGGCCAGCTGCTTCATGCCATAATGAATAAATGTCGCATTAATTTTCACGCAGCACTCTTTGGGGGTTGGCCGACGGCCTGTCCTGGTGTTTGTGTGTGGTGGTTGGGGGTTGAAGGTTTGGGGCTTCAGCAGGTGGGGACTTGCCACTCTGAGCCTGGCCCGGCACGTTCTCTGCTTGTTTTCCTTCAGCTCCAGAGGCAAACAGCACAAATCCATTGCATAGCCTTGGCACACAATGCCCACGTTTTACACTGATTTTCTCTATGTATGCATCTGTCTGTCCGTATGTCTGTCTGGCTGTCTGTCTATCTGTCTGTCTGTGTGTCTGTCTGTGTGCTTGCTTATATCTATATATTTTACATAAAAGCGCGTGAACAAACTGATACCCACTCTACCGCTGTATGACTATGCATATTTGAATGTTGTTGCCCTCTGGAGTTTAATTATTATCCTTGTAATGATCGTGTTGCTTATTCAAGTATCAAAAGCTGGCAAATTTGCCACGCCCCACCATTGAATTGCCCTGCCATGCCTACAGTTTTGTCTAATTACAAGCTACAGTTGCCAGGAGTATCCAACTGTTTTCCGGGGCGCCACATTCCCCTTCTCCTTTGCACATTGCACCGGCAAGCAGGCCGAAGGGAAGGGTTATAGCCATCGTTCTGTCTCTAATCCACTATGGCCTGTTGACTTTTGGCGCACACTCTCGCTCCCCACCTCTCCCTCATATGTGTTGCAATTTTACCGCCCCGCTCTTGAGCATAATTATATGCCCATTTATTGTGCAATCAACTGTGCAATTTGTCTTTAACAATTTGTTCGCGTAATGTACCCAATCCAATTTGTAAATTCCGCGGAATCGAAAGCTCACAGTAGGTCGGTATTTAAAAAATTTGATTATTGTAATTTTGTGAAGAATGTGGAAATATTCTTAAACTGTATTTTGTGTACGAGACCGTACGTAGATGCGGACTTTTATAATCTGCGTGTTTTCAGATCATCGATAATATATTATCGGTCGATGTATTGAAAAAACGGATAAGCTCTTACTGCGTTTTATACATACATACATTGTCTGTATGTTTATATATTTTCTTAAGGATATTCTCCCAGGCCTTACACATTCCTCCCGGCCTTACACATTCTTTCTTTTAAATCTTTCAAATCTTTCCCAACTACATTGAGATTTACGTCTTAAGTGTTATTTAAGAAAAATATTTCAAATGGAGCTTAAAGTCCATCGAATTAAGAACCAAAAGTTTGAATCAACGTTTTCGACCCATTTTACTAATGAAGCAGAGAAATAAACATTTATTCATACAACCCTTGACCCATATTTCTCATTCAAGAGGAGCTTTGCAAAAATTCCAAATGAATACTCCCAAATAATATTAAATAAGTACAAAAAAGAAGTTAATTCAACCATTTTCCGCAGCAGCGGATTGAAACGTGTATTTTTACGTTTTTCTTAAGATAAGTTTGTCGCGGGCATAAAAAAATGATAACCGACGTTTGAGCTAGTATATAACTTTACTATTTTGCAGCTTGTCAATATTTCATTCACACATAGATGACCTCAGGATCGATCCATAAAGCTATAGTTAAGCTCCGTAAATTGCCACAGGTAATACGGCAGAGTGAACGTACAAAGTTTTCGCAACTTAATATAAATGTTATCAAGTTAATATCCCTCTGCTACTTACCCATTTTCGAGAACATTAGGTGAGGGTGTTTGCGCTCAGGAAAACGTATGAGTCATAGCTGTTGGGTTGTTGATTTGTTGGTTTATTGACAAAACAGAGCGATTTTGTTTATGGCACTGTAATATATTACGCATACGACCCGTGACATGCCCGAAAATGATAAAAGTTTTAAAGGGAAATGGCGAACTTCAAGTTGGCTGACAAAATATTAAACCATAAAAATAATTTGTCAGGCACAGGGGCAGGCAGCATACGAACATGAAATGCATTTTAAAAGGCATTTCAACAAATTTCGAATGATGCCATTATAACATTCAAATGCAGAGAGACGACAAAGAACTGCCACCATTTGTTGAGTGCCTGCTTCAAACCCGAAAAACTGGAGGAGGAGACTGCTTGGCCAGGAGTGCGGATCAAAGTTGGCTTGTGGTGGAGCCGGAGCGTGATGCTGGGTCTATTGTCGCATTAACAGAAACGAAAAAAGAAAGTTCAACAACGAATGGCCGCACGCTTTGTTACGGTTGCGGACATTTTAATTGCACTTTAGTGGGTTTTGTGGTCGCCATTGTTGTCTTACTGTCGACTATGCACTAAATAAATTTAAATGCCCAGCATGCGGACGAGGTCAGCCACTAGCATACAAACAAACATTCGCACTCACACACACACTCGTACACATGCTCATAAAGAGCAGTCTGTTGAGTAGCTCATTGTTAAAGTGGCGTGTAATTGATTAACTAGGAAGGATACAACATTTTACTAATTAGTTCACAGTTAAAAGGACATGACTTTTAATTATAGACTTTTACTCAAAAGAGTTGCAACTCATGAACTCTAGCTATAGTTCGTGATAGTCAGCATAGAATATAATAGAACACTAGTAATAATAACAATAATAATTTTTACAATAGTAATAACAACAATAGAAATATTATTAGTCGTAACAACAAAAACAATATTAACAAAAATCAATTCGAATTGAAATATAAGGCTCATCATAATATTGATGGCTTACCATGAACATTTCTAGCTTTAGCAAAAAGTAAGCACTAGTCTCTATGCATGTGGGAAGTGAAATTTAAAACGAAAAAGAACAGAAAAAACGTAAAACAAAGAAGAAAGTCAAATATGGCGAACAGAAATGACTGCTAGCTCTCCGTTTTATTTCACAGCCTTTTTCTACCCGCAAAACGGGTAGCAAGGTTTGCCAGTGTGTACCACAGGCACAAATGAACAGCTGCTCCTTTCAAACAGGAGCATATATGTTCCTGGTCAGTATCAATATCTGACTAGCTGCAATCCTGGGCAGTACTCTGTTCCTGACTATTCGCTTAGTTTCGATCTCAGTGACTAAATTAGCAATGGATATATATATTGGGATTTGTGTACACGGTATCTCATAGTCATGCACACTTGACATTTGAATTTGTTTATTTTTTTTTTTCTTTACTTTTATGTGTGCTAGGAAATTTTAGCCAAATTGTGGCATTTTTTTCCGTCTGTCTGCAGGTAAAGTTTTTATTTTTGTATGCTAAAATTCCGCAAAGAGTGCAAACGTGAAAAATGTGCTCCGAATGTGAAGCAATGTATTTGCTTTTTCCCAGCGCTTGAATAGCTCAACAAATATGTTTACCAAGTTGTCAGAGTTAAATTCAAAGTACGTGAATTAGTTATGCCTTTGAAAAGAATCGTCAATCTACACAATTCAATAAAGTTGTCTTCTGAAACTAAAGGTCGAAAATAGAGTTCTTATATACATTTTCGTTATCAAAATATTAAACCATATTTCTCCAGCATCGGATTCCTATATAGTATTAAATTACACTTTTTTTATGAGTGTTCATTTATTGACTCTCCAAACAGTTCTGGAAGTGACAAGACCGCTGACATGTCGCTAACTGCGTCAGCGGATGAAATATATTTATTTTTTTGGTTATTTTAAATAAACTTTAATTAATGAATTATATAGAATATTGTTTACATAATCAATGAGGGAAACGGGACAGTTCACTTGATTGGAGCGCAACGTTTAATTGCGCTGGCAGAGATTCACTTAATTCCTGACATGACAAATATTGGGTGAACAGACAAATACGCTCTTAACTTAATAACCATTTAACCATCTGAACCCATTGAACCCATAATAGGCTATAATAGTCTTGTACACATGTACGCAACAGGCAGAAGGAGTCACTTTCGACTATGTAGAGTATGTATAGTATATTCTTACTATTATTTGTTATGTCTGTCTGTCTGTTCTCGTTGATCTCAGAATCCATAAGAGCCGATATATATATTCGACTTGGCTGTAATCGACAAGAATCGATAATGAGCATATCTTTAAGCCTATAAGAGCCAGAGACACCAAAATAAGTACGATATCTGTCGTATGTCCACCCTTTTGGATACTGCTCCTGTTCTCCGTATATGTGTATGTGTGTTTAAAAGTAAACTAGAATAGTTGTGAGGGCAGCTCAGCAATTGGTACAGGGTATCTCCTAACCGGGCATCCCCGACTGGGCATGCCTACATGTTATATGTTGACAATATGCTTTTTTTACAATCATTTTTTTTACATTTGACACGCACATTTTAATGACACTTCCCGCATACAGTGACATTTCGATTGAGCGAAGGTGTTGCAGCTGATTTACGATAACCGGGTTGAGTTTATCGGCCACAAAAAACGAACGTTCTTGAACAGTTTGGTTTTTGTTGTTCCTACACAGTCTACAGCTACATGTAGCCCTGTAAAAACATGATATACGGACAATCGTATTTGTACAAACATCTATGTGTTTGTGTTTGTTGCCGTCAACAGAACCAAAAAATAAAACAACATATTTGCATTTTTATGGTCCTGAAAATGCAACATGTTCGCTGGCAAAAAAGTTAAAAATGCGATGCATTTCGCAGAAAAGCGAAAATACAAATATATATATGCATATATTGTACAAAAGCCGATAAAAAAATATTACTTGTTGGGGCAAGGCTCAAGGGCAGAATAACAATAACAAACTTGCGATCCAACAATAACAATGAAATTTTAAAATTTTGGCATTAGACATTCTATAAAATGCGCTTAATAAACCGAAAAGCCAATTTTTCCTTTCTAGTTGCGCCAGTGTCATGTGTTATTATTATTCTTTTTTTTTCGCATTCACAAGAACAAGAAATTTACTGTCACCTGTAGGCAGCTAGCATAATAAAAATATATGGAAATGAGTTGGGGAGGGGGTGTTAAAAAACAGGTCGAACACCAAATATGCACAGCAACAAAGTTGCAAAGGATACAAAGGAAATGGCAAGTAATGGAGGAGTTATCGCCAGGCATGCACAAGGAAAAGAATTCGCTACCCTCAAACACAAGCACTCACACACACACACACACAAACACACACTTCAATAAGCATGGAGGGTGTGTACACATGCCAGCAAGTTAATCATAGAACGAAGAATTATGAGCATCAAAAAAATTCCAAACGCAAAAGGTGCCTAAAAATGTTAAGAGCTGCAAAAGAAAAGAAACGTTCTTGAGAAACATTAAAAACATTTCCGACTCAAAAGTCAGTTGCTTTTGTAAAGAAAAATCTTTGCAAGTTATACAAAAAGGTGTGCGAACGTCTGTCGGATAATGTTAAACTCTTGAAACTTCAAAACTGGCTAACATCACAATTTATAGGCATTGAAACAGTAAAAAGAGGGAAATCCAACAGTGTTGGGCGCGTGTCGTGTTAGCTTGTGTGGCACGACAATACGGATTCGTGTTGGGCATGTGCATACACCGAGTGTTAAGAATTATACAAATATTTGAAGTTATACAATCAACTACAATCAAATATTATAGAAACCAAAAAACAATCATTAACAATTTTGTAAAAAAGTAAAAACTCTAAAAAATCAAAGTCCTGCGTGTCCTGCTTTGTCGTGTTGCGCCCATCTCTACTACTGTGTC